TCCTCTGATGCTGCTTGGCCTGCTGTGTTCATCCAGCTCTACACCTTGTTAAACCATTTAGCCATTTGCTTCATTACTGTACTGCTATTGGATCTTCTCCCACAGTCCATCATTAATTCTGCCTTACCCATCTTTACCCTTCTTCATGGCCGACATACAGTCAAAATCATTCTGCTCATTCTTTTCACTGGCCCAGTGTTGAATGTGTTCTTCAGTCATTAAGCTTTCAAGAGAAATGCTACAGGTTTAAATGGGAATGCAGTCTTTATTAAGACTGTCTTTTTTTTTAGAATCGCTGCAGTGTGGAAACAGGCCCTTTGGCCCAACAAGTCCACACTGACCCTTGGAGCATCCCAGCCAGACCCATCCCCCAATAACCCACCTAAGCTACACATTCCTGAACACTACAGGCAATTTAGCATGCCCAATCCACTTAACCTGCACATCTTTGGACTGTGGGAGGAAACTGGAGCACCCAGAGGAAACCCACACAGACATGGGGAGAATGTGCAAACTCCACACAGACAGTCGCCCAAGGGTGGGATCAAACCCGGGTCCCTGGCGTTGTGAGGCAGCAGTGCTAACCACTGAGCCACTGTGCCACCCTACCTCCTGTATCTGCACTTAAACATTAATGTCAGACTGCACAACCATAGGTAATCCCTCAGCCCTCAGATCAGTTATTCTGACATTCAATTGTTTGATGTTTGATGCAACAATTCATTGGAATTTTCAGAATGAAGGCTCACACCCAAACCATTACTCTGCCTATCTGCCATACATTCTTAGTAGCTATCTGCATTTCTTGTTTGAATAGTCCATTTACTCACCATTAAGGATCGCAGTCTGAATTTGCAAAGCATCTTGTCGTCTCTTGCTTGCTGTCTTCTGGATTACTTTGCACAGTTGATCTAACTTGAACCGGCTGTTCTATGATCTATCTTGAATCTGATTGCTTGTGTACTGCAGCACCCTCTTTTATAGAGGCCACCATCACATGTGGTTTGCCACAGGTTACTGGCATCAGCTCCGGGGTTTCCTACTCCTTCACACGGAAAATGATATCACTGAAAGATTGAGTCAGGGGTTTAAGACCCTGCTGCCTCTCCAAACCCATGGACTTTCCTCCTTCTAATGATTTAGAGTGTAATTAATCTGGAAACCACATCTAACCTACTTACAGGGGCAGGACTATATGAGCTAGTACTACCAGCAACTGATTATTGAGCAGTTTATAACTCACATCTGCAGGTAGGCTAGTTCGCGCACTTCATGGAAAGTGTGCTATTTGAGTGTGCACAGCTCACATCAAGTAAAAAGAATCATTTGTGTAAAGACATGCTGTGACCACACAGACTAGTGGTGTCCTAGTTTTGACCTTGGCTTCTGTTGATCTAGTTAAGCTCCCTAGGCCATAGGCGGAAACTTATCAAAGTTCTCAAATCCAGTTGCTTTCTAGTGACCAAACCAGAAATTACTGGAAAAGCTCAGCAGGGCTGGCAGCATCTGTTACAAGGGTCACCAGACCCGAGATATTAGCTCTGACTTCTCTTCACAGATGCTGCCAGACCTGCTGAGCTTTTCCAGCAACTTCTGTTTTTGTTTCTGATTTACAGCATCTGCAGTTCTTTTGGTTTTGTTTTCTAGTGACCCTGGCTCTAAGGATCCATTATGTCAGGTGTCAGCCCTACCTCTGAGTCAGAAGTTTGTGTGCTTAAGCTCCACTCCAAAGACAAAAGTATACAAAACCCATTTTCCAACAGCTCTCAATTCTGAAGAAGAGTTGTAGCAGAGTCGAAGCACTATCTCTGTCTCTCTTTGCAGATTCTGCCAAACCTACTGAGTTTCTTCAGCATTCTTTATGTTTGTTTCAGATTTCCAGCATCTGCTGAATTTTGTTTTTACCCACTCCCTACACTTGAGGTGCAGAGCTGGGGTGACACTATGGTGCAGTTCCAGGGAATGCTGTCTGTGGGAATTGCAGTCTTTTAGATAAAATGGTATAAACCGAGCCCTCATCTGTCTTAAAACCCTATGGCTGTCCTTTCATTGTAGTTATAATAATCTTAGATTTATGTCCCTTCTTACGGACAAGTTGAATTATTAATTTCTCATTTATTTTAGCCTAATGTTCAACCATCTCAATTAGGTCATCTCTGAACTTTTGTGTCTGTAGAGTGATAGAATCATACAACATGGAAACAGACCCTTCAGTCCAACTTATCCAAGCCGGCTCGACATCCCAACATCCCAGCCAGCAATAGGCCCATATCCCTCCAAACCCTTCCTATTCATACACCCATCCAGATGCCTTTTAAATGTTGCAATTATACCAGCCTCCACCACTTTCTCTGGCAGCTCGTTCCATACACGGACCACCCTCTGTGTGAAAAAATTGCCCTTCCGGTTCCTTTTAAATCTTTCCCCTCTCACCTTAAACCTGCGTCCTCTAGTTTTGGACTCCCCTACCCTGGGAAAAGACCTTTGCTATTTACCCTATCCATGCCCTTCATGATTTTCTTAACATCTATCAGGTCATTCCTCAGCCTCCGACGCTCCAGGGAAAATAGCCCCAGCCTATTTAGCCTCTCCCTATAGTTCAAACCCTCCAATCCCTAGCAACGTCCTTGTAAATCTTTTCTGCACCATTTCAAGTGCAACAACATCTCTCCTATAGCAGGGAGACCGGAATTATATGCAATACTTGAAAAGCGACCTCACCAATGTTCTGTACAGCCGCAACATGACCTCTCAACTCCTATACTTAATGTTCTAACTAATGAAGGCAAGTGTGTCAAACACCTTCTCCACCACCCTGTCTACCTGCAACTCCACTTTAAAGGAGCAACACACCTGCACCCCTAGTTCTCTTTGTTCTCTTTGTTCGGCAACACTCCCCAAAGCCCCACCATTTGCTGTATAAGTCCTACCCTGGTTTGATTTACCAAAATGCAACACCTCACAGTAAACTCTCCCTGCCACTCATTGGCCCATTTGAACAAGGCTCCATTGTATCTGAGATAGCCTACTTGACTGTCCACTGCACCACCAATTTTGGTGTCATGTGCAAACTTACTATTCATGCTTCCTATATTCACATCCAAATCATTTATATAAATAATGAAAAGCAGTGGACCCAGCACCAATCCTTGTGGCACACCGCAGATCATAGGCCTCTAGCCTGAAAAGCAACCCACTATCATCACCATCAGTCTCCTACCTTCAAGCCAATTTTATATCTGATTGGCTAGCTCCCCCTGGATCCCATGTGATCTAACCAGCCTACATGTGGAACCTTGTTGAAAGCTTTGCTGAAGTCCATGTAGACAACATCTACGGCTTTACCTTCATCAATCTTCTTTGTCATCTCTTCAAAAAACTCAACTTAGTGAGATACGATTTCCCATGCACAAAGCAATGCTGACTATCCCTAATCAGTCCTTGCCTTTCCAAATGCATGTAGATCCTGTCCCTTAGAATATCCTTCAGTTTCTCTTCAGAAATGAAACTTGTCACTGTGGTATCATCTTTTGAGATCTCCATAGCACCATCTGCAATGTAACTTGGTATTCCTGCAGACTAATGTTGTGATTCATGTCACAGGACACCCAGATCCCCCTGTACTGCAGCTTTCTACAACATCTGCACATTTAAATAATGTTTTGCTTTCTAAATTCTTCCTTCCAAAATGGATAATTCCATCTATCATCCATATGCCTATCTGATAGCCACTTAAATGCCCCTGAGGCTGACTCCACTACCCTCTCCAGCAATGCATTCCACACCCCGACCACTCTCAGAATAAAGAACCTACCTCTGACATCTCCCCTATATCTACCTCCACTCATTTTAAAACTATCTCCCCTCATAATAACTACCTCCACCCTAGGAAAAAGTCTCTGGTTGTCCACTCTATTTATACCTCTGATCATTTTGTACACCTCTATCAAGTCACCTCTCATCCTTCGTCATTCTAAAGAGAAAAGCCCTAGCTCTCTCAACCTCTCCTCATAAGACCTTCCCTCCATTCCAGGCAACATCCTGGTAAATCTCCTCTGCACCTTTTCCAACGCTTCCACATCTTTCCTGTAATGAGGTGACCAGAACTGGACACAATACTCCAGATGTGGCTGAACCTGGCTTTTGTATAGTTGGAGCATAACTTCACGGCTCTTGAACTCAATCCTTCTATTAATGAAAGCTAACACACCATACGCCTTCTTAACAACTCTATCCACCTGGGTGGCAGCTTTCAGGGAACTGTGGACATGAACTTCAAGATCCCTCTGCTCCTCCACACTGTCAAGAATCTTTCCATTAACCCTGTATTCTGCATTAAATTTGTCCTTCCAAAATGAACCGTCTCATACTTTTCAGGGTTAAACTCCATCTGCCACTTCTCAGCCCAGCTCTGCATCTTATCAATGTCCCTTTGTAACCTAGGACACCCCTCCACACTATCCACAACTCGACCCACCTTCGTATCGTCTGCGAACTTACTAATCCACCCTTCCGCTCCTACATCCAAATCATTTACAAAAATCACAAACAGAAGAGGACCCAAAACAGATCCTTGTGGTACACCACTTGTAACGGAGCACCATGTTGAATATTTTCCGTCCACTATCACCCTTTGTCTTCTAAGATTCAGCCAATTCTGAATCCAATCTGCCACATTTCCCCCTATCCCATGCCTCCTTACTTTCTGCATGAGCCTACCATGGGGAACCTTATCAAACGCCTTACTTAAATCCATGTATACCACATCCACTGCTCTACCTTCATCCACGTGTTTGGTCACCTCTTCAAAGAATTCAATAAGGTTTGTGAGGCATGATCTACCCCTCACAAATCCATGCTGACTATCACAAATCAAACTGTGCCTTTCCAAGTGATCATAAATCCTATCTCTCAGAGCCCTTTCCAATAATTTGCCCACGACTGAAGTAAGACTATTTTTCTGTCATCAGCAAATTTGACAAACATACCTTCTGTTCCTTCATCCAAGTTTTGGTCCAGAAAACACACCAATGCCTTTACTTCCTAAGGAGGCTAAGGAAATTTGGCATGTCCACAAGCACTGTTACAAATTTTATGGATGCACCATAGAAAGCATCCTATCCAAATGTATCACAGCTTGGTATTGTGCCCAAGATGGCAAATAATTACAGAGAATCATGAACACAGCTCAGTCCATCACACAAACCAGTCTTCCAGCCATTGACTTCCTACTGCTTTGGGAAAGCAACCAACATAATCAGACACCTCCCATCCCGATTTGCTCTCTTCCACCCTCTTCCATCGGGCAGAAGATATAATAGTTTGAAAACACGTATCAACAGATTCAAGAACATCAGACTTATGAATGGATCTCTCATGTATTAGAGTTGATCTTTCTCTGCACCTGTTCTGTAGCTGTAACACTATATTCTGCATTCTGTTCTATTACCCTGATGTACTTATGTAAGGTATGATTTGCCTGAGTAGCACGCAAAACAATACTTTTCACTGTATCTGGGTACATGTGACAATAATAAATCAAAACCCCGGTCAACCAACATCCTGTTAAATCTCCTTTGTACCTTCTCCATTGCTATTGCATCCCTCCTATGATGTGGATTCCAGAACTTCACTCTAGCTATGGCCAAAGGGGTAGGGGATCTCTGATGGAATGTAGAGGGAGGGTGTAGGAGTGGGGCTGAGATTAAAGTGGCCTGGGAGGACAGGAGATGGGGGAGCTGGTAATCCACAGAGTTTTTATGTAAGGAGCCATTTGCCTTCCTGTCATACTTTCAGGATCGATTTAAGGTCTTTTGGAGTGGCCAGTTAGGGCACATCCACTTTTACAAATAACTGAGAAGGC